ATGTTAGTTCAAATTAGGAATTGGTTGTGGCAGCGATTTTTTATTGTCCCAAAGTCAGAGTTGTATTTTATATTACTTGCATGGATTGGAAACAGTGAAATTAAACAGCACGTCAAAAGTACAATTCACGACAACGTAAGGCGTTCAATAAACTAAAAAGTATGCGTTGTTCACAGCGAAATTTCACGCTTACGTGTAGTTCGCCAGACGCCTCCCTTTGCCTGGCGTTGTTTGGTAAATATTTTGCAAGTCCTATTTCGAACATCTAATCATTGACCATTAATCCGTGGTGCCCACATTTAGAAATAAAACAAGAAAAATCGTGGAAATTTTTTTTAAAGGGAAGTGCAACTCGCGGATGTCAGTGGCGATATAATCGTTTATAGGCACAAATACACGCTGGCATGTAGCGCCGATAACATTCATGAAATGTGAAACCGTTACCCAAAGTTAATCAAGTCGTTTTTCTATTGCCATTCATAAGTGATAAGTGGCAAATTTTTTTTTTTCAATCGAATTATTCGAATATTTAAATAAACACCTTGTGAAATATTGTCAATATTCTTCTCGAAATTTACTTTTTGTCGAAAACTGAAAACTCGGTAATAACACGGCGTTTTTTTATTTCATAGTTTTGTCCTAATCAGTTATAATTTTTTTCACCGCGATCATTTCGGCGGCCGACATTTTTATCAAGTCAATATTGATTCTCACCCAACGGCGGACATCGTAGTTTGGTTTTTAAATTTCGGACAGAATTGTAAATTCACATCGGCGAAGATACTGAAGAGCTATCAGGGAATGAATTCACAACACAAACTAATTTTATTTTTCATCTTCTGTGTACAATTTGTAAATTACGGTCACAATTTTCAGCGAACAATATTATCATTACTGCCCAAGGGATGCAATATTAGTGAAGCTGATAGTTGACTTTTTTATGCTTTTAATTTTATATCGTGTACGTGTTATTTTCGTAATATAATAATAATCAAAAACTCCGCCAATTGGTCATCCCCTGAATACTCGATATTGAGTATTCAAGTAACTCAGCTTTGTGTTACTCACTCATACTAAATACTTGGATAAATCGGCATTTCTATAATCGGCAATAATGGCATTTCTATGTGGTCAAAATAATATTTATAAATTTAAAAAAGAGGTGTTAACGGGATTTATGCAAAATTATAAATTGAAAAATTATGATTGACGCGGTAAAAAAACAAAAAAAATACCACAGAATTTCTCACATTTTTCTTTTTCCGTCAGCGAGAGCCGTAGGTAAATTCTTACTCGTAATTCGTTGTAAATTAATGTTATTAAACTTAATTTTGCTTTTCAATGCGTCGCGGATTGTATCATTAATAGTGATTGCGTCGGAAAAATGAGAGTCCTCAATATTAGTTTAGCTTTTCTCTTTTTGAGCGCCCAAAACGACGTTTGAATTCGTTTCCTATCTGTTTCACGGAGAAAGGAAAATACGCCTTACTGAATTGCAATCAATAATTATGCATCCTTATTTATCATTGTCAGCGCCAACTAAAAATTTGATTGTTCCGAAAGCAATAGTGTTTATGTGAAACGCTTTGAATTACCGGTACAGAGTCTTCTCTTACCAAATGTTTAATTAGGCCAATGTACTCGAACATCACCTCAGGTGTTTATTTCGGAGCAATGTAAAAGTATTGGGCTCGGACACGAGTACAGCCCAAACACTCGTATTCGGCCGAGTCAAACTTTTTTGGATTCGTCGCATCCCTAGAAATCATATTCCACGCGTCCTGGGCGGGTTAGGAGACCGTGGGTGGCTCAGGAGGAAACACCGGCCCATAGGTTTCAGTCTCTTAACACAATTTGATGTAAAGTAGGCGTACAAAATTAGCTACCTTCATATTGGTACTTACATTTCTGCAGAGCCTATTTCGGTGTTACAAAGGTACCGATTAAAATTGGGTAAAAATTTAGTAGTTTTATAATTTTGAGTAATATTGTAATTTGGTTATGCAACCTGCAAGTTGAAAGATTGTTGATTTATCTACGGTATACATGTAATGGCAAATAATGAGTGAAAAAACTTTATAGTATTTGTTCTACGGCTATTCTATAGTATTTTCGATTGATATGTGGATAATGAGAAACAGTTTGTTTGAAAAGCAAATATTTCAACTTTTCTTTACGATATCTTGACGGTTGTTTGTATAGTTTGTGCTTTAATTTGTTTGCGCAAATCGCAAAGCAACCCTTTGTTATGCAATATTTTGTTTCAAACGCAAATACAGTATTTATCGAGTAATTTAATTGATTTTAATTCTCGCTTTTGTACTTCCGACCTAATCATGTCTCAATGATTGTGTGTGTGCGCGTGCGAGCCTTAATTAGTTTTTTTTTTACTTTTGGGTGAGCGAACACGTACTACTTCTTTTATCAATACCTTTCCATCTAAAATCTGTACGTTTCAAACCTTACTAGAGGTTTTGTTCGCTCTCCCGATTCTATAATCAGTTACTTTTATTTTTTGTTTTTATCCGTTATTTTATCGTCTATTGCTGATTATGGAGTCAAAATAAACTTATACTTATACTTATACATAATCGTGCATTGAAAGATACGTATTGCCTTATATTAGACCAGTCTTAGATAAGTTAAAATTTAGTTTGCTAGGTCGCCAAATTAAACAGCGCAACTTGGTATTTTGAATCTTGGTTGAGAGAGAGAGAGACCCACAACTCAGAACAAATAGAACAAACGAGAATAGTGTGTTATAGTATTACCAAGGTACTTGAGAATACCAAGGTAAAATTGAGTGAAGAGTAAATTTCAATATTTGCAATGAAAAAGTCTAACTTAGAATATTTTGATTGTTCTCGTTGCTAAAATTTTGTGATAGCTTTGTGGGCTTATCTATGTATGAAAATGGGATCAATAGTTCTTGAGTAGTAAATATATTGGGGATTCGTTCATGCAAAAGTAAATTGTGCAAGTTCATAAAATCTCATTAATATGTCGTTTTCCTAACGACAACAGTAGTTGGCATAGAATAAGCATTATATACAGAAAAGTTACGGCAATCATTCGGAAGTAAATGGGACACATTTTGGAACAAAAGTACGGCACTCACTCATACCCAAAGTATAGTCATTTGTGATAAATTTCCCGCATTCCCTCTTAAATAAAGTAGAGTCATCTCTGAGCAAAGTTATGGCAGTCATTCCAATAAATGAGTCTCATTTCTTAGCAAAGTGACCGGTACTCACTTAGAAGCAGACTTATTTTTTAGAAGTAGGCTTATCTCTGAGCAAAGTTATGGCACACTCAGAAATATAGGACCCTCATCCCTGAACAGTCACTCAATTAAATGAGAATCATTTCATAGTTAAATGACAGGTACTCACTTGAAAGTAAATGAGACTCATCTTTGTGTAAAGTTATGGCACACTCTACACTCAGAAATAAAGGAGACTCACCACTGAGCAAAATTGCAGACACTCATAAATAAAGTAGACTGTTTATGAGCAATGCTACGGCACTCACTCAAAAGTAAATGAGATTCATCTCTGAGCAAAGTTACCGCACTCACTCAGAAGTAAAGAAGACTCATCTCTGAGCAAAGTTACGGCACTCACTCAGAACTTAATTAGACCCATCTCTCAGCAAAGGAACAGCACTCATTCGAAAATAAAGTGAACTCATTTCTCCGTACGGTTGTGGTATTCACCCATGAATAGTCTCGTCTCGAGCACTCACTTAGAAGTAAGAGACTCATCCATGAGCCAAGTATTGTGAACTCTGCATTGCCTACTCACTTTACTTCAACTATGATGAGTTGGTGGGAATGGGATTTGAAACCGAGATTTTCAATCTCCAATCCCAACATAGTTAGGTCCAATGCTTTACCCAAGAAAAGTTTGTCGTATTTGTTGTACGACTATTCTATAGTATTTGCAATTATTTTACGATAAATATGCGGGTGTTTCTATCTTGTTGCAATTTTGACAACAATGATAAACTGTGAATATCAAAGTAACTTTACTGAAAATTTTAATCGCATGAACGGAGGGCAAAGTACTGAAGATAAAAGTGATTGACCTAACATGTATTGAGGATCAGTTTGTTTGAAAAGCAAATATTTGAACTTTTCTTTACGGTAGTAGACGGTTGTTTGTATCGTTTGTGTTTTCGTTTGTTTGCGCAAATTCTAAGTAACGCTTTGTTATGCGATATTTTGCTTGAAACGGAAATACAGAATCCTGCATTTATAGATACGTGTTTTCTCATATTGGACCATTTTTATATATGTTAAGAGTTCGTTTGCCCGGGCGCTAAATTCAACAGCGCACGTTGTGTATTTTAAATCTTGGTGATGAGAGAGCCACAACGGAATCGTAGCGATTTGCTAGACGAAATTTGCTCGTGACTGCTTTTTAGATCAGTTAGTGGCTGAAGTTTTAGTTGGGTTTTTAATAAAGTAGCCCAAAATACGGCACATTCATATGGCAAACTGTGGCGTGCAGTTCAATTACTGAGTTTTTTGATAAATAAGACAAAATTTTGACTCTGAGCAACACCAAACCAAGCTAGGTTACCATGACAGCACCAGTTCATAAATACAAATCAGCCGTTCGCTGCCAACATTTTGAATTCTCTTATATGGCTTCGAGTGAAAAACAAAAAATGCAAAGATACACAACCTAACAGTTGGTAATTATGTAATCAAATGAATACTAAAACTAATTTACATGGTCAGGAAAAAGCCATAGCCAGTATATAAATATGCTCGAAGTATAATATCGGCGTAAACAGGTAAAAACCAGTTTAAACATTGTGTTAAAAAACTAGACTCAGACTTGAAGTCAACAGTTATTCTGGATCCAATTCTAAAATGCAGAACAAAGATGTAGCAGAATTTAGCCGGATTCCATTTTCGTGCTGTATGCGTTATCTACTGTCATTCTGTTAAGTGGGTTGTAATTTTAAAGTGTTGTTTATTCATCTTAGATTAAAACGAGTATTATCGGAACTAACCATGATCAAATATATCACCCTGTTTATATTTTTTGGAATAATTTCCACGGAGAATGCATCGGCTTTAGATAATTATGGGACAGTACTGACCGAGCAAATGAATCGATATTGCGAAACGTATATGTGTCAAGATACCGACCATACATCGGCAAGACAACAGAGAGGGCCGCGGGTTGGAAAAACTGGGCCAAAGGGCCCACCTGGACTACCCGGAATAGTCGCTGCCCGTGGACCTACTGGAAGCGTCGGTCCTCGAGGGGTCAAAGGTCAGCCCGGGGTTTCTGGGCCACCAGGCGAAGTGAACTACACCAGAATCGAAGAGATAGTTGGGGAGGAAATAAGTATGAATTTATTTGGTATTGCACGTTTTCTGTGGCAAATAATCTATACGGTCATCCATATTACTAAGCCGTTGTGTTGTATTTTACTTAGAATAGTGGTAGCGTGTATGAATAATGTATTTATTAATTCATTATATAAAAAATCTTATCTTTATTAGATCTTCAATTGGGTGGAATGGAATGTCTTTTTCTCACTAAATCAGGATTCTAGGTCCATGACACCAAAACTAAGAACTATCGCCAGCAGCGGAAAATAATCTATTTAATATATATTAAGAAGGCTGAACCTCGAATGGGCGCTAATTCAAAATAGTTCAAAAAACTATTTTGCTTGCATTTCATATTTATTCTGAATTCTGCGTCATCATCCCCAGACAATAAATATTCCGACCAAACCAGAAATATTCCTTTTTTTGAACACCTAACCTGGTATTGGATTTGTGCACATAACGATAAATGAAGGCGAGAAAAATTGAAAGCACAAGAAGTGATTCCTTCTGTTAATTAATTTCAGTGTTTTATAAAAAAAAATAAGGAATTTCTCATAAACATTACAGGAAAGTATCTTCTTCCTAACAAAGATTGCAGCAATTTCGATACGAATGAAATGGCTTTGCTTCAGAACGATACGGGCGGTGTGTTCGAAATTAACTCATATAAGCTGGCACATCGACTAAAGGTTTATTGCGACATAGAAACAGATGGAGGAAAATGGATGGTAAGAAGTGGTATCTTTGAGAATGTTTCGGCAATTTTATTTCCATATTCTTCTATCTATATTGTTAAAACGAAGCTCGTGATCTATGTGGTAACTTCAGAGGGAGAATTAGCATCCCTATTTGCAAGGGGTTTTATAACGCACAATTTTTTCATACTGCCTAGCTTCGTATTTCTGAAGTCTCAGTTTGTATATTGGCCACATAATTTTAAATCAGAACGTTAATTTTATGGGAATTTTTCCCATCAATATGGCACCTCCAAATATTGTACCAAATAAGCTAATGAATTTATTTGTAGAGAACCTTAAATATTGCAATGGCATTCCATGACTGATAATACATGGATGCAATACAATACATTATAATTTTTTATATTTTCTGCCAACAGGTTTTCCAGCGAAGGTCTAACGGAATGCTCGATTTCGTCTCGTATAACTGGATTGAATACGTAGAAGGATTTGGAAATCCAGCGAGAGAATATTGGATGGGTAAGATAGATGATTGTTGAAAAGAATAGGCTTGTAAAATATACCTTTCAAGGAACTTCTAGTTCTTTATCATTAATAAGGTTCATGGTTAGCATATCTCTAAAAAAATGGTATTTCTGGCAACGAGATTCTATGATATATATTTTGAATGCCAATTGTAATGAAACAGTTGGAATTGGAAGTAACTTTACTCTATGTGGAGTAGCTTGGGTGTAAACTATGATGAAGTGCAAATATTCTCCCAAATATAGTCGCTTGTGAATCTTGTCCAGAGTGAAATCGTGGAGCACATAATAAAATTCAGGTATTTTAGTATATTTCCAAATTTATTAGGATTGGAGAATCTACATCGATTAACATCAGACGGTGACTTTGAACTCAGAATTGATTTGGAAGATTGGGAGGGAAATAAACGCTACGCCAAGTATTCGTGAGTATTTCATCAATTATATTTTACCCGTTTTTACAGCTGTGGGTTTCGCGGACGGAGACTCCGGCTTCGGAAGCATTTCTCGCGGCTTGTATCATCATATAGATGATGCAAAACTGATTTGTCGGATTTCCGGCCTCAATATGAAATCTTATGTTAAAACGCATTTTGTTTATTTTGTTAAAAATAGTATTTTTTTTATTCCAGGTCGTTTTCCATCGGATCCGCTTCTACAAAATATCAACTCAATGTTGGAGGATATTCAGGAAATGCTGGGGATTCACTAAATTGGCATAACGCAATGAAGTTTACGACAAAGGATCAGGACAATGATAAGTATAGTGGCAACTGTGCAAGTATTCGTGGCAGTGGTGGATGGTGGTTCAATATTTGCCTTTACTCAAACCTCAACGGTAAATATAACAGTGGAGCTCAGACTAGTAGACACCAAGTAGGAGTCATCTGGAAACACTGGAAGGGATGGGATTACTCACTGAAGTTCACAGAAATGAAATTTCGTCCGAGAATGTAATAATGTCAAAACCAAGGCTGTGGAGTTAGAGTAGAGTGTTCAAAATTTTCCTAAATCGGAGTTGCAATTTTGAACAAAAATTTAATTACTATATCAAACTTATCCTGCAAAAAGTCGTTTTCCCAATTTTTTAAGTCAAAATACAAAATTCCAAATTTTACCAGGTACTTATTTGAAGTCAGAAGCCAAAATTTTCCAAGTCCTTAATTTCAAATTTTTCTCATTTTAATAATATATTCAGATTCAGAATTCGTTTTTCAATATCTCGAACTCCGACTCCACAGCCTTTGGTAAAATGTAAATATATTTTCATTTCACAAAATCAACCTTTCAATGACTTTTCATCTGATCAACCTAGATAGAGTTTCTATTTTTAATACATTAATATAACAAATACCTGAACCAATCAAACCATTCCGTCAATATTCTAAATATCCGTTTAGTCTTGTATGAATACATGTAGAATTATTTTCTGTTTCGGACCTTTAAATGGTAGAATGTTAATGAAACAATTCATCCAAATATTTTGAAACTTCCATTTTTTTAATTCATTCAAGTTTCTTCAAATGTACATAGTAATTTTTATTCATTCAATTTTTTATAGCATGCTTAGATGTCAATAAATCATGTATCAGGCTAGTTAGTATTTTTGGATTGGAAAACAGGAAGACTGCTGATTGCGAGCGCCAATGATGTTTGCCAATTTTAGGAATGTACTTTTGTAGTAATAGTTGTTTGCGAGAACGATACTTTGTGGGAAGTTTATTTTGCGATAAAGTTCCTAATAACGAACTCATTCGATAAAGAAAATTTGAACGAAAGAACGGAATTTTACGAGGATGTAATTGTAAGGAATGAAATTTTTTGAGTGAGACTTTACCTGCCGCGAATATTGTTTTGAATGGAATGTGTACTCGGTACACATGTGCTGTCCTGTCCGTACCTAACTTTGACTCCAATCTTTAGGTTTTGTGAAAGACTTCTGTCATTGGTGATTCGCGCTAAGCGTTGGTAACACGTGCAGTGATGCGGCGGCTTCACGATTAAGTGTGCTGGCCAACTCAGTGAAACACAACCCACCAAAGATTGAGTGTGCTGCACAATAGGTCCGATAATACGATGAAGCCAGTAAAGACCCTATTTCCCAACAAAAATGCACGGATTTGAACAGATATACTACGAAGCAGAAATACAAGCAAGACTGTATCAACGGTCAATACAAGAATAGCGACGAACGTTCTAAGACGAGGTGACGTAGGCAGAGGTGAACGGAGTCTGCCAATATGGGTCAAATCTGACGCATTGGGCAATATATAAGTCGAAACCAAGAAATATGTGAACCAAGATGGCGGACACCGGAACGTAGTATGTGTACCAGGTTAAGGTTAGGCCACTGAAATCACTGATGGCTTAAGACAGGGGTCTGCAACCAGTAATACAAGGGGCCCATAAAGATACTAATAACTCTGGGAAACCGCGGGTTGTACTTTTATTTAACATAGGTTTTTTAGTAGTTGCAGACACAAATATATCACGTATTTTTCTTATGACGTGGCATTGTAACGTCGTAGTCTTGTATATCAAATTGTACTCTGGTATAGGCTTTGCAATGCAAGGGGATTGGTATTGCTCGCTCGTACCAGACTAAACTAGATTAAAAACTTGTGCGGCGTACACTATTCAGAATTGGTCTTCTCTGCTGCCGAATAATATTTCCTTGTGGGTCGCAACTTGCACACTCCTGGCCTTAGACATTCGTTAACAACCAGGAGTCTGCAAATACATTACAGAGGTCTCATGAGCTTTGCAAGCATAAGATAAAAAAAAAATTGTATAATGAGTCTGTGACCATTCTTTACAGCATAATACAAATCCTATTTATATAAATGAAAATTTTAAGGTTAAGAACCACGGTCCAACTAATTGTTTGTATCGCTGAACCTGTGAAAGGTCATCATTACAACACAGTATATGTAGAAGGCACAGGCATTCCTCTCTCTAACGCATGCCTCACTTCCCAACGTAGAGCAGATCTCTTTTTACTTGTCGATACAACATAGGTGTTGGGAACGTAGATTCTTTGCGGCTTCTGGAAAGAAAACAGGATAGAAAGATAGAGGATTATAGCCGAGAGGGGGTTTCAAACTTTTATGGCTCACGGCCCCCATCCTGGGACTTTTAGCACTCATGGCCCCCTGTTTATATTTCCAGTGGTATTTAAAAATGTTTCAACAATTCGTGCTTAATGAAAACACCCTGTGAAATAACCTTATCAAGCAATGAGACCAGGAAGGGACAGAGAGTTTATTGTAAAGTGAAATCAAATTTTGCGCCTAGAATTGTGGTTTCCCTTAAACTGCTCTGCGGCTGGGAGAACCGCTGCAGTCTCGCAAACTGGGCCCTTGCCCCCTTGAAAGTGCGCATCATTTGGAAGTGCGCATCACTTGTACATCATTTGGGCTTTAAGGCTTTTCTTTCCGGGAGCTTTTATTGAATTCCATACGTCTCTGTATTGATAGTATCTACAAGATGGAAGAATTTTGAGAGAATTATTCATTGTAAAGGTATAGTATTGAAGTGCTGGGTACAAGTTGCTAAAGTCAAGAGTTTTACAATTTTTTTGAGTCGAGGTAGTCTTCTCACAATTCAATTTGGTGCGCTGCTATTTCGATTGAAGAGTAGAGAAAATTTACGCCCAAGCCACGAGTCGAGTCAATGAACTCCCTAGTCACCCATGAGTCAGAAGCCGAGCCAATGCACTCTAGTGCTCAAGTCAAATTGCTACTTTTTTTGAAAAATCTTACATTCAAATTAAAAAAAAAATACAGTTTACCTCAAAAAATATTAATATTCATCAAGAATATACTAAATTAATCATAACTGTAGTTTTATTTAAAAAACATTAAAGTTTATTAAAAAATACCAAATTGAGTTAGCCAACCGAATTGGAAAGATTCTAATCCATGCAATAAAAGTGGCTTGTTACGTACCAGTGGTTGCCTACAGTTAAAACGTGTCATTGAAAAGTACTTCAGAAAAAGGAACCAACCTGTTAACAGGGTCTGATTTCCTGATATTCCTTGTATGAGGGTGAGTCGTGTTCGGTCTGTTGTCTGTAGGTAGAAAAGAGAGGGGTTACAGAGGGGGTAGATCAGGGTTCTCAAACTGGGCCACAAGTATCCAATAAAGCCACAGAGCGTTTCTCTGGCGGGTACAAGCAAATGGCCATCACTGGGTACCCTTCATGATTAATTTACAGTACATTGACTAACACTGAAAAAAATTGCACCCAACACCCAAAAAATTGCACCCGACACCCAAAAATTTGCACCTAACACCCGATAAATTGCACCCGGCAACTAAAAATTTGCACCCAACACTCAAAAAATTGCACCAGACACCCGAAAATTTGCACCCAACACCCAAGAATTTGCACCTAATCCCCGAAAATTTGCACCCAACACCCGAAAAATTTCACCCAACACCCGAAAATTTGCACCCAACACCCGAAAAATTGCACCCAACACCCAAAAAATTGCACCTGACACTCGAAAAATTCACTCCAAACAAGTAGATCTCTAAATGGAAATTCCTCAAATATTTCTGAAACGAAGCTTCAGGCAAATAAGAATCACACTCACATGAAGGTAACGGTTGATCGTGAATGGACTCTTGATCCGATTTCCCTCCCCTGAAAAAAAAAATACTTGGACTTAACAACGTTGGCATAGCAGTTTACACCCGATGATCCCCCCCCCCCCCCCCCCCCCCCCCGTCACCCAGGGTGTGATAAGTTGGGTAGGCGATGCTAACAAAAATCCAAAAGCTTAACAAGGGGTGGACAAAGTTTTTGGACCAGGGGCCAAATATTTTGACATCTAGACTGGTGCGCCATGTAAGTGTGACGTAAAAGTTACATTTCAGGAACAATATTTACAGTGTTACAAAAGTGGCAAACAATAAACCTCGTGCCAAAACTAAATTTAATCGCAATCTCAATAAATTCATTGAGCTATTTTTAACTATTAAACCAAAATTTGGTTTATGTTTCGATGCGGCGGGCAAGATTAAAATACCCAACGAGTGGGATTTGGCCCGCGGGCCGTAGATTGCCCATGTCCGAGACAGGGCTAGACAACCGTGTCTCTCCAACATCAAAAATTAAATAATTAGGTTTGCCACCAAAAGGATCCCTGGTTTGCAAGTCTCTCGGGTTCTAATCTTATCTCACACAGAATGTAATGAATTGGGTAGACATTCAATATCAAGTCGACGGATGGCAGACACCGAAAGGTAGTATGTGTATTAGGTGAGGGTTAGGCAATAATTTCAGATACAAATACTACGGTAGTCACTTGACTAGTATCCGAACACGTAATAGAACTAAAATAAGGAAAATTAGAACGACAATATCGGTCTGAGACCGAAGACTTATCGACCGAAACTGCGGTTTCGTTTCATGACTCTATAGTGACACCGCGTGTCCCATCACTAATTAATTGATAACTCGCTAATTATACGACATAATTCATCCAAAACCAATAGGCTTCTGGTCCGAGATATGATGAATGCACATGCAATACTTACATACACGTACGTACATACACATACAATTTGGAGCAGATTCAACCACTCTTTCGTGATATATCGTGCATCTAACAGACAGACAGACAGATAAACAGACAAATACCTATAAACATACTTACCAATCTAAAGATCGATAAGTAATAAAATTATCGCCTAACTCTAACCTAGTCCACATACTACGTTCCAGTGTCCGCCATCTTGGTAATAAGTAATAAGCTGCCTTGAAGTCCGCCATCTTGGTAATACTCGCCGTTTTGGCGCGTTAGACAAAGAATTCATCGCTAAAGAAGTTTCGAGAATGTACAACGAAGGAATTATCAGGCCAAGTTCTTCGCCGTGGAGAGCACAGCCTTTAGTTGTGAAGGATCCATTGACCTCAAAACGACGATTGTGCATAGACTATTCACAAACGATAAACATTTATACAGAGCTAGACGCCTATCCATTGCCGCGGATTGATGATATGGTTAACGAACTTGCTGGATATTCCTGGTTTTCCACCTACGATCTGAAATCCGCGTATCATCAGATTCCAATATGCCAGCAAGATAAAATTTTCACTGCGTTTGAAGGCGATGGTAAACTCTGGGAATTCAATCGTATTCCATTTGGAGTGACCAATGGAGTACCAGCTTTTCAGCGGCTAATGGATGAAATTGTGGAAAAAGGCAATCTGAAAGATACATTTCCATACCTCGACAATGTAACTATAGCTGGACATACAAAAGAGGAGCATGACTATAATGTGAAGAAATTTCTCGATACTGTTAAGAAAAACAATTTAACATTAAATGATGCAAAAACAGTATCAAGTGTACGAAAAATTAACATTTTGGGATATACAGTGGGTAATAATTCAGTAGCTCCAGATCCCGAACGCCTAGCTCCATTGAGAGAACTCCTACCTCCAACAAATAGTCGCGCTCTGCAAAGAATAATTGGACTTTTTGCGTATTATTCGAAATGGATTGTAAACTTTTCAGACAAAATGCGACGACTCCGCCAAGCGAAAACATTTCCTTTAGATTGCGCTACAGTACAAGACTTCGAATCACTAAAAAGAGAAATCGGAAATGCCACTTTGAGCTCAATTGATGAGCATGTTCCATTTGTTGTAGAATGCGACGCATCGGAAATTGCAATTTCAGCCACACTGAATCAAGGAGGGCGACCAGTGGCATTTTGGTCGCGTGTTCTACAGAAGAGCGAGAGGTTTTATCCTGCTGTAGAAAAGGAGGCAACGGCAATCATTGAAGCTGTGCGAAAGTGGGCCCATTTTCTGGCAAGACGTCCATTCACTATCGTGACCGACCAGCGATCGGTTTCTTTCATGCTAGATAACCGTCGTCGATCCAAAATAAAGAATAATAAAATTCAGTCCTGGAGGCTGGAACTAGCCTCTTTCAGTTACGACGTTAGATATCGACCTGGAAAACAAAATGCCGCACCTGATGCTTTAACACGTTCTACATGCGCATCAGTTTTTCCCACGTCATTGCAAGAAATACACGAAGGTTTATGTCACCCGGGCGTCACAAGACTTCTACATTTCGTCAAATCGAAAAATTTGCCTTTCTCGACTGATGACGTTAAAAGAACTTGTAAATTATGCCGCGTATGTGCGGAACTTAAACCGAAATTTTATTCCCCACCGTATGGCACATTAATCAAGGCCACACGGCCATTTGAAAGACTGAGTATGGACTTCAAGGGACCTTTGCCATCGCGGACAAAGAACGTATACATGCTAACCATTGTCGATGAATATTCTAGATTTCCATTTGTATTTCCATGCACCAATCTTTCTTCCGCTTCAGTAATAAGCTGCCTTGAAAAATTATTTGCTCTGTGCGGACTACCTGGTTATATACACTCTGATAGAGGAAAATCTTTTATGTCTGCGGAACTAAGGGATTTTCTGCTGAAACGTGGTGTAGCCACCAGTCAATCCTCGCCTTATCACCCAATCGGAAACTCCCAAGTTGAACGATTCAATGGAATCATATGGAAAGCCGTGCGTTTATGCTTGCGTACATATAATCTGCCTATCACACATTGGGAATATGTGTTACCGAAAGCTCTTCAATCGCTCCGATCTTTGCTTTGCACAGCAGTCAATGCAACTCCACATGAACTATTTTTCAACTTCCAACACCGCTCTCCCAGTGGTCATTCATTGCCTACCTGGTTGTGCGAATCAAAACATGCTTTTCTGCGGAAATTCGTTCGTTCGCACAAAAATGACGATTTGGTTGAACAAGTGGAACTAAAAAATGTGAATCCCGCATATGCTCGAGTTCGTTTTTCTGATGGGCGGGAGAGTACGGTATCGTTAAGAGACTTGTCCCCTTGTCCAGTCTCCCAACGATCTTCAAGTCACGATATAGAGTCTCAAGACTTTTCTCCTGAAGATAGTGAAACAAGTACTAATGCGTCACCACTAAATGATGGATGCAACGTTGACCGAAATGAAGAGTTCAAAATTGAAATTCCAATTAGCTCTGACAATGCTAATAATGAAAGGATTGCCACACGTCGTTCAACTCGAACTAACATTGGTGTTCCACCAGAACGCTATGGTTTTGAAATATAGACGGGGAGAATGTTATGAGAATTAAGTTCAGTTATTCCTGTTGCAGTGTGCTACACTTTGTTTATATTCCGTCATTATTACATTATCGTTCTTTGTGTTGTGATCACTGATTATCGTCAAGCGACAACGGACTGCATTTGCCTTACTGCATTAGTTACGTGCCGTTACGAGTATTAGACGGTAGTCCGATTAAGTTTGGCTATACTTAGTGACTCAATGTAATTATGTTGCATGTTCTTGTGTTTAGGTTAAGATGCGTTTTTAGTTTCTTAAAGCCATAATTTTGGTTATAATAAATAAACTGTCATAACATGCATACTTCGAGAGTACCGTCAATTTGGTTCGTTGTTGTTTCAAGTCACAAATTGAGTGACTGCACTTACAAGTTAGGTCATTGCACTCACAAGTCGAGTCCCTTACAGTCATAAATAACCAAAAACTATCGCATGACATACCAAAGGCCTGGCTGTAGGAGGTCTAGGCGGGAGCATTGTTGCCAAGCGGTCCCGATCGTAACTGACCGCCATGTCATCCATGGAAATGTCGTGAAGTCTGTAGGAATTTTTGTTCACCCCATCCGCAACTAACGACTCATCGAATACCGCAGACTCCCCGTTTTGTTGTTTTCTATAAACAAGGAGTAAATTATGAGACATTTTGACAAAAAAATTTGATATTAACATAAAATATTGACCCCACAGGTGGCCTAAAGTAGTATTTCTTGAACGTTCATAATCCATGGCTCTCGACATTTACAGCCTTACGGCATCAATTTTTAGGGGTCGCAAAAAGTACCACTTGCACCTACAAAACTAGTGCAAAAACATAAATTTCACAATTTCGAAGAATACATGGGATCAGAGAAGCGGCGCACCTACATAGCAAAACAAACTTTGATTGTAAGACCAGTGAAGCAAGGCGCCTGCATAACAACAGGGGAAAATTTTAAATATATTGGAGGGTCACAAGCTCAGTTTGGGAAGCCCTGGTCTAGAACCGGGATGCTCGACATTTTTACCAAAGACAAAACAAGACAAAACTTAAAAATTACTGGGGTCGGTTTTCCCCGAAATTATATTTCAACACCCTTAAACACGCACTTCCTCGACGGTACGGTATGGTCCAAATCAAATACTGGATTCATACTGCGGTTCGCCAGTAGCCCTGATCTATAGTATGTTCAGAATGGGGGCGATAAATCTCAATAAAAAAACTAGCTTGATATCTTGTCTATAGCCTTCTTTGGAGTGAAAATATAGAAACACCCATCTTAGTACTTTTCTGCGTTTCATGACTCTTCTTTCCGAGCTCGTTGGTAACTCATGCGTGACACTGGTTGTTGGGGTTACCGGTGTGATGTCATCAGTGGTTTGAAATTTACTTTGAGAAGTGATGTCATCACTGTTGCTAGGGTGACCAAAAAAACGGTGACCTCATCATCGTTGTCATGACGATCATAAGATGTGGGAATTTAATTACTGGTGGTAATTGTAGTAGTGAAATCATGAGGTTGCCGTGGCAATGGTGACTCGTCACTGCCTCCTAAAGGGGGGTAATCCATCGAACTTTTAAATGTTCTCAATAGAGTCAAAGTCAGGCAATATTTTAACAGGTATCGGGTTATTGCACACAGCTCAACAAACAACAGCACTGTTTTAATTCCAGCGTAACCCCACACCCCACACCCACTTCTGAGCCACAAAAATATTTTCAGGTGGATCACAAAAGTATTAAAAGTTGCTAGAGTTATTGATGAATTAGATAAACTTTGATTGGAGTAGCAATGAATAATGATGCTGTTTTACTACTGAGTGGTAATTGTTAAAGTGGACGTTGTATATATTTATGAAAAAGAAATTCATTTGTTTTTCTTTGTAGTTTTTCTCTTGCATGAGAAAGTTAATGGGCCACCAAAGAGAAAAAGTTGATAACCTCTGTCTCAGTGGGATTGCCAAGCCCAACTATAGTGTTTTTGCTTGGTTTATATTTCATGTTTACTTTTCCATATATGGTTTAATCAATTGGAGAGGGAATGCCAATCTTGTAAAATACGAACTAACTTACTACAAAGACCCAGTGGCGCAGCCAGAATTGTTTTAACAGGAGGTTGGTTCTTGGTATGATGAAATTAAAACAGGCATTAAATATTCTTGACGACACATGACCTTCAAAGAATAAAAAAAATTGTGTGTTATTCATAACCACACCCTGTTGAGTGAATTTTGTGCATGTAGCTCGCCTACCTTCGCCTGAGATCTTTCGGGAGGTTTAAGTAAGATACCAATTAAAATTGAAAGAGAAGTTGAAAAGTGTTATCATCATATTCGAGACCGCACTTTTATATTTCGCCTAGTCAGTGTGATAAAATAAGTTTAGTTCATAAATTTTGTTGGAGAAATGGGTAATTTAGTTTGGTAGTTTCTGGTGTTATTGGATTTGAGGTTGCATTTTGAATTACTCCAAGTCGGTTAAAATCAATAATTTGAGCGGAGAGTTATGAAAATTTCGCCAGCTGCGAGATATATTTTTATAATTAGATTGTTCGCAGCTGAACCCAATATAATTTGTAACAGCTCCGGCCAATGTATCATGGCAAGCTTGTTTACAGATTCAACAAAACGCCATGGCTTCCGACCTGGTCTTACTCCAGACCTGGTTTATACCATCTATTTATTTGTTTTAGGTAAAAATGGGTCATTATAAACTACTGGTTTTAAACTTTTTTGTTAAATGCATCCCTTTGCTGATATTGAAACTTCTTATTACTCCCTATTTAAGAATAAAACGGTACTCCAGAAGTATGTGGATTAAGATGGCAAACACCGGAACGAAGTATGTGTACCAGCTTGTGTTTAGGCCATAATTTCAGGTACAAATACTACGGGAGACACTTGGCTAGTCTCCGAACTCGTAATACAACTAAAATAAAGAAAAACGGAATAATATTAGGGCCTAACCCGGTACACAAACTACGTTTCGATGTCCGCCATGTAGGTTCACATAATTTGGGAGTGTCTATGAAACTACCTATCTGTTCAATCTTTGACAGCCACTGTTATGGGCAAGTCACACTCTCGCTGTTGTAGAGTTTAAGTAGTCGAGAAAGTTTGCATAAATTAGGGTTGCCATACGCCAGATTTTTCCCTGGCTTGTCCGGGAGTTTTGTGGTCAAATTTGCGCCAGGGGGAAATGCTACAAAGTGCCTAAATGTCAGATTTTGGAATACAGAGAAATCGTGCTACAAATTCTCAAGTTTTCAGATAATAAGCATCCGCGAAATCCTCTGATGTCACATATGAAGTGTATTGCCAGCATTTTGTAATCGGTATTTTGGTTGCACTACCTGTAACTTACTTTATTCTGTGCTAGGGTTTAGTCACTAGTGCTGAAGATTAGGCAACAATTTTGTTTCTTTCGTTTTTTCTGTATTTATTCTATTCTCACAAGAAAGCGACGACAGCTTGTGTCTTTACATACATCGTGAATTAAGACCATAATATTAGTGTATTGGTTACAAAATGGGTCAAAGTGGCTCATTAAAATTTTGTCAGGGATTTCGTTTTTCCACTATTGGTAACTCTAGCTAAATAAGTAAGTAATCATATGGAACTAAATAATAGTAATACAGCGCGAGTACAAGGCAAAATCACTCCCCGTCCCTGGAAAAGAATTCCTTCCCGGTCGGGAAACGTTGTTCTCGACTCATAGTAGACCACAGAGCAGTTTGAGGTGGACCACAACGCTGGGCTCAAAATTGATTTCAATTCTGATTTTACTGGAAAACTTTCCGTTTTTCCTATTTTAATTTCTTTATACGGTATGGAATCTACCAATCAAAATAACACTATAAATGCCACTGGAATGATAAACAGAATGCCATGAGTACTAAAAGTCCCCAGAAGGGGCCCACAAGCCATATAATGTTGGGAACCACTTCACTTCGCAATGCATTAAAAAGACTAGTCTCAGACTAGGAGCCAACAGTCTGAATCCAAATCTAAAATGCATAACAGACCTCAGCCGGATTCCATTTGCGTGTTGTTAGTGTAATCTACTGTAATTCTGTTAAGTCATTTTAAGATGTTTTTTATTCATCTCAGATTTATACGAGTATCATCGAAACTAACCATGATCAAATATATCACCCTGTTTATATTTGTTGGAATAATTTTCACGGAGAACGCAACGGCTTTGGATAATTATGGGACAGTACTGACCGAGCAAATGAATTGATATTGCCAAACGTATATGTGTCAAGATATCGACCATACATCGGCAAGACAACAGAGTGGGCCGCGGATTGGAAAAGCCGGGCCACGGGGTTCTTCGGGAGTTCGGGAAAAGCCGGCTTGCAAGGGCTCATTGGAAATCCTGGTCCCAGTGGGCCAGAAGGAGTGCCCGGTCCGCGTGGACATATTGGAGTTTCAGGCCCCCGAGGGCCCGCTGGAGTTCCTGGCCCTCAAGGACCTATTGGCAAATCCGGGCCGCGTAGGCCAGTATGCGAAGTAAACTACACCAGAGTCGGGAAGATTGTAGAAGAAAAAATAATGGGTAATGCCACATTTAATATTTATAGCAATATACGAAAGTTTGATAGTGGCCACTTTCTGTTATTACCAACCCGACTAAGCAGTATAGTTTAATACTGATGAGGGCCACCATTATACCAGAATCTGAGCGCAAATAAATTTTCAACATCAATTGTCACTTTTTACGATCAGGTTACGCTCGTTTATTCTACAATTTTGCCTCTTATATGAAAATATTCATATATTTTTGCCTCTTATTTTTTGATGGAAAGCGAGCCACTTCTTGTATTTTACTTGTCCAATTCTATTTTTCGCAATTTTAATTCAAAGCCAACTCATTGATGTATTTGTTCCCAACTTCAGGTACCCTATTTACGGTGTTAAGTAAAAACAGTGGTAGTTTGCTTAATAAAGACTGCAGCAATTTTGCAACAACAGACCAAGCCCTGATAAAGAACGAAACAGGTGGCGTGTTTGCAATCTATTCAGTGAGATGGAATCAAATAATTCACGTTTATTGCGACACATCGACAGACGGAGGGAAATGGATGGTAAGCAAATTTCGTATTTAATGTACAGATTACAATTCTATATGGCGCACTTGTGAGCATGTATCGTCTGAATCATATCGGACAAACTTCAGTTATAAGTCTCATGGCACACTCGGATATAAACAAATTTCAGTTGAATTTTTTTAAAACACAGTTACCGTCTGAGACTCATCTGGCAAAACGAAAGAACTTATTTAGTACGTAATATAAGCCGCAACATACCCTTCGATTTCGGAATGCTATTTTGCACTTTAAACATTTTAAACGCACTTTAAAGGAAGGCCTAACACAACGAAGACAAAAAAACAGGATTTATCATTTAAGTACCGTGAACCACAGCCTGTGTAGTGACTTTTTCCACCAGCTGAGGTCGGATATAGAAATTTTAAATTGTTATAAGAACGTGTACTTCTTCAGCAAAATAATTTGAATAGTGGCTGCGCATACCGCCTGGTTGGTCAAAAACGACGGACCAATATTTAGTGCCGTAAACACGCAACTTTCTGTATATCTAATGAGATATATTATCTGCAAATAGGTTTTTCAACGAAGGTCTAACGGAATGCTCGATTTCGC